GGGGGGAGGGGGAGGGAAATAGAGAGAGAGGAAGAGAAATGACCTTAATGTCTGTTGGTTGTTTTTGCTATTCACTTTGCTGTTTGTTTGTGGCCTGCTTCTGTTTCTATTGTTATATATCCACCTTGCTTCCCATTCGATATTATCAAGAGAATGTACAACTATGTACTGGTAATGGACTTCGGCAACAATCTTGTATACAACACCGAACTACCTAATAACACACCTATCGGGACTCACTCCGTTTCACCTTCTCCAGGGTATAGTTTTGCATGCAAGGTCCGGACAGATAGTCGAAATATCTTACAAAAGAATATTCTAATCACAAATGAGATCCAATAGAATGGAAGGAAGAAGGAGGGAAAGAGAAATCAGGTATCTCGGTAATAAAAAAAGATATATCGTGCCTGGATCGGTGAACGAAAGGGTTGAGAATGAGAAGTGAAGTGAAGTCAAGTAAGATCAAAGCATCGCTGCAATGCAAGACAAGGTCGAATTCAACGCTGGTCCAAGAGGTCAAAGAAAATGCATAGTTAAAAAGGTTAATGTCCAGACATTAAGAAGAAAAGAAGGTCAGGGAAAGAATTCGGGGGAAAAAAATAAAGTCACTCCTCCCGCAGAGGAGTTTCCGTTCTGAAGTCATGACGGCTGCCCTTTCGAGTGACGCCCTTGAGCAGGCTAAATCGCTTCATCATCGAATCGCGCTTTCCATGGCCATGACCATGGCCATTGCTGTGCCCGTTACTATGTCCTGTCGGGCTAGTGATCTCCGGGCTGCGCACAGATGCCATGCTACTCCGCGTCACGGGCCGTGGGTAGTCACTGATTGAAGGAATAGTCGACCATCCCCCAGTCTTCGGACCGCTCACCGAGGGACGCCCTTCACCAGTTCCGTTGGTACGAGAAGTCGTGCGGCTGACAGAGTCTTGTGAGATGGCAACAGTGTCCCGAGAAGCACTTCTTGACCGTTGTTCCTTCTGGCTCTGGGTCTCTTCGGGAGCATTGCTGCTGATGGACAAGGATGAGCCGTGCTTGTGCAGTACTTCGCCAAAGAGGCTCCGTCGCTTGGTCTGAGTATCGCGCGATTGGGTCGTAGTGCGACTGTGGATCGTGGCCGCATCATCATGCTCTGCGGAATCTCCCTGACTTTGCTCCGCTGCCTGGGTTCCGTTGACGCCTGGCTGCTTCTTCGGCTCCTCCTGCACGGTAGTCACCGAGTTGCTTGCCGCATGGTTGGACCGCTTGAAAGGGTTCATGACACTAATCCGATGGCTAACTGATTGCTTCGCCGAGTGCTTACGACCATGCGTCTTGCGCGAGGAGCGAATCAACTCCTGCTCCGGACTCAAGGCTCGCGAGCTAGACGCCTTCTGACGCCCTTCCACCGATTTGGGAGACTTGCGTGGGGACCTTGGAGGAGTTTCGGGCTCGACTGGACGGAGTGAGGCGATTTCCGGCGCAAATGCCTCCTCGAACCGACGCATCAATTCCGCTTGCGTGGCTTGGTGGGCCGGGCGGTGATAAAGCGCAAGAGCATGCTTAATCGCCAACGCATGGTCGATGAGAGCTACTGCCAGTGCGTTCTTCATCGGATCCGCGGGCTTGGGCGTCACTAGTCCACCGTCGTCCTCGTCTGGCACATCCGACAAAAATTGCCGGTAAGACGCAACGCAGTTTGGAGTGGATGCATTGAGATCTAGTAATTGCTGCACCGCCTCCGTAAGATTGTTCAGGCTAGTGTCCTCACCAGATGCAGCCCGCCGCTGTAGCAACGTCAGCTCCTGAGTCTTACGCCAAGTCCGTTCCAGAGCGCTCTGCAGCGGCGACAGCGAGACTTCCTTCACCTCCACCACTTCGCTGCGACGCAAGATGTTGGGGAAGGGTTCTGCGGTGGTGTAAATGATCTTCTCCACCCACTGTTGCGTCACATTCGTGTCGCGCACATGTCTCCTGAGCGTTGTTGTGAACTGGCAAGGCTCAGAAACCAGCAAATGATCTCTGACTGACTGCGGAACCTTGGACCGCTGGTAGACTGGGTGATCCACATCCCGGTAGATGCTGACAGAGCTGATTTGCAGGAATTGACCCTCATAGTCTTGAATCTCACCCGACGACATAATCTGCGCTGCTGGATGCTCCTTCTGCATACGGTCCACAAAGGAAGCCATTCGTTCGTTCGGAGCACCTTCAATGATGAATTCCTTGTCACGCAGAGTAGGTGGGAAGCCAAGTCCTTTGTACAACACACGGAAGTATCGCGGGATCTGCTTGTCTTGCTTCGCAATGTGGTCGTATATTTTGGCCATGGAACTCTGGGCCCTTGAAAGCTTGGCAAAATCCATAGTCGTGTCTTCGTACTGCTGCGTGAGCTCCTTATAACACACCAGCGCGTGCGACCAAGCTTTGCCGTCCTCGAAGTACTGAATAATCGAGAAATACAGCGACTCCTTTCTTTCGAATGACGTTTGCTCAGGGAAAGCAGGATTGAGCAGCTCCGGCAGTGTCCGTCTCGGATCCCAGTCATATAAGTCAGCATGGAACTGAAGCGCCAGGCCAGCTTCAGTGAGGTTGCCTGCGGCAGCTTGAACTTGAGCCAGTTCGTGCACGTAACGTATGAAGATATCCTCTCGGCCCATGTCTTTCATATACTTCATTAATCGAAGAGTATGCAGACTTTCAGCCATAGATCCACCTTGTGACGCCACAAAGAGATCCAGAAGCTCATCCACCGTAGCAATCAAAGCCCCGACTGCTTCGGAGAAATCCTCGTCGAACACAGAGTAGCCCTCGAAATGATCCATCAATTCTTGGATGAACAACTTTTGCACCACGCTTCCGCTCATATTCTTCCGCTTGAATAGGTTATCGAGGCTGGAAATGACCTCCGTCTCGATGATAGACAAATCCTGGTTAAGTCCCCACTCGCTCAGGATCATCGTCCGCAAGATCTCGACAGCAACATGGCGCAGTCCTTCATGGACACTGAGACAAAGTTCGATAATTGGTGCCACCAGTCCGGGAACATATTGCACTTGGTAGCCCCCGAGCTTACTCAATCCGTAGCGCTCACTCTCCTCGTCGGTAGTCTCCCATCCAATGGCTTCCCAGCTGGAATGTAGTAGATCCGCGCCTTGTTCTCGAACATCGCCGGCAATTTTCCAGATGGCACGTCGCTTTTGCTCGGGATAAGTCTCAAGGGCAAGCGCCTCGCTCGAAACCACCTTGAGCAAAGTCATGAAGAAATTCTCCCAGAGTCTTGTGTCGAAAGTCTCAGCCTCTTCCGGAGCTGGAAGAAACTTCTTGATAAGGATGCCTGCAAGAAATTCGAGACTCTTGACTGTCGCGCGGTGATTGTAAACATGCACACTTAGCCAGCTTTCAGGGTAGGCTTCACAGTTCAGTATCGAGGTATGAACTTCGAACGCCTGGGAAAGGAAAGCAGACAGCTCTAAGCCCTTCAAGCGGGGCCGTTTGGGGTTGGGCACCGCTGCCGTAGCGGCCATGATCGCAGAGAGCTCAACCAAAGCCTCATCAAACCGCTGCGAGTGTTTCGAGGACTTGACTTGGAACGGGAACGTTTTGCTGAAGAGTAAGGAAAGGTAGCTGGTTTCTTCCACCCCATCGGGTATAATAGAATAGTAGGATGAAACGATATTTGGCATGAACTCATAAATAAGAGAATCGGGCTGCTTCAACAACTCCGCGACCACCGCGCAGCACAAGCGTACTTGGTCGCGATACAGGTCAGATACAGCCCCTGTCGCACCCCAGTACGGAGCCAACCAGCTGATGCAGCTGGAGATCAGGCTACGTCTCTCCGAGCCGGAGCTGAAAATCTCGAGGCGGGTGTAATGCTGAATGAGAACCAGCTTGTACAGGATCAGCATACCTTTGACGTCTTTACAGGCATCCATGAAACTGAGCGCAATCATGATCGTCTCATCTCGCCCGAGAACTTTAGACAGTTCAGGCAACCAGGTGTGAAAATGCTGGACCACGAGTGTTTTGCTGCCCACCGTCGCAGGCGACGTGTCCTTCATAAGAGCTTCAAGTGATTTGAAGATGGTATGCAAGTCGCGATTGAAGGTTGACTGCACTCGGGT